GGCTACATCTCCGCGCCATTCAAAGAGGGCATCAAGTTTCACAGACAGTGAGAATGATAATCAAAATGATCGATCCACAAGCAGACAGGAGTGAGTGCAACTGAGACCCCAACGCGTTATGGCAGCCCACTTTATTCTCGCAATATTATGCCTTTTTTTCAAAATATTATAACTTTTTTTCTCGAAATATTATGACTTTATTATCGAAATAGTACGACGTTTTTTCTCGAAGTAGTACGACTTTTTTCTCGAAATATTGCGACTTCATTCTCGAAGTCTACTCTTTTTATTTTTTTTAACAGTGGCCCTAAAATGCTGTCATAGCAATAGTCAACTTTCTTAATAACTAAATAAACTTGAGAAACTCAGGGGCGACTGCAGTGTCATTAATTCAGCTGTGCTTTAGAATTTAACCTGAGTTTAAATCTGAATGAGTTACATGTGTTGTTAACCTCTGTTGCTTTGTCCTTGAAAGCTGCAGTTTAAAGCTGCAGTTTTTAAACACAATTGCTGATGTCATTGAAAAATCACACATCTGTCACTAGATGGTGCTGCATATGTAGTTTAACTGAGGTTTATCTTAAACCTGCTAAAGACATAATTTAACAGAGGTTTAAGCCAAGATTATTGTAATTGAAGTGCATTTTCAGCTCCATATTTTATGAACTCCATACCTAGGCCTAAATACCTTTCGTCATAATGTTTTGTGAACTCTACAGTGTGTTTTAATTTAATGCTATATTGCTTACTGGAGTACCACACTCAACTAGAGGAAGTGTAAATCGTTGCAGTCTTGATTAGGCTTTTTTTTTCAGAATGTATTGTTCAGAGAAGCTAAAGACGACCTGTGTTTAAGACTCCAGAGGGAAACTATGGGACACTGTGGGACACAGTGCTCGTCCCAGTCGATTACCAGATTATGAAGTACTGCACAAATGACAGTGATGTTATTTGCCCTGTATGAGCTGGTTCGCAGTTCGATGGTGAAGCCAGGAAAATGGCTCTTAAGATGCAGAAAGCCATCCACTCAGTGTCATTCAGTTTCATGTCACCTTGTCTTTGGAAAAAACAGCATGTATACATCTGAGTGAGTGGCTGCGCGGTTTTAGTGGCTGCGTTTTACATTATGAGTCACATGATAGAATTGAAAGACACTATTGTACACAGTTAGGTCCAGTGACGTACAGACTTTTCTATTTCCATTGCTGGGTTAGGCTTGAAATATTTATTTTTTATATTTATTTTAAGCATGATGATCTTTAGCAAGGATCACTAGTCTTAACCACAAAGGGCTGGTGTGGCTATTGGTTCTCATTCACACCAAGCAGAAGCACACCTCATGTATCTTATCTACTGTTTGGATACTACGACCAACTGATTAACCAACTGGAATCAGATGTGCTTCTGCTTAATTCCAATGAAACCTGGAGCCACACCAAGATTGTTGACCTCTGATTTTTAGTCTTCAAGTCAACTAGTTCAGACTATATTGCTGTATTAAAGGGCCCTTATCCTACAATGTTCTTTTTTACCACTGGGGTCTACTTATAATGTTTGTGAGGTTTTATGTACCAAAAACAGTCATAATTCGTTTTTACAAGACCATTTTACAACCTCTCTTTATCCCTTAGAAATAAACTGTGCCTTTAAAGCAGCGCTGTGTAATATTTTTTATTTGATCTGAAAGAAGTAGCATATGGTGTGCATTTGCCATTGTACCCTGTAAAGCCTGAAATAATCATTTAAAAGTCAGAGATTTGGCGGGAGTTTTTTGGACCACGACATACATTTTTACATATTAACGTCACATGCACAGTTTTAAGTGAATTATTTTTTTAATTGATTTTTTATCACAACGTGCCATTGATGGATCACAACAGACCACTTGCTCCCACTCAGTAATGCCCACATGAGGACCACCAGAAGGTGCTTCACAGTCCAGTTGTGGTCCACAGCCCAGTAGTTGAGAAACCACACCTTAGTGTTTTGGAGCTGTTTTGGCCAGTGTAGGTAAATGTAATGTTTTACTTGACATCATAAAAACAGTGAATTCATAATGGACTGTTTTTGCCTCTCAGTTTCCATATTTGGACTGTTGGACTGGAAAGTGAACAGTATATATAAAAAACCTTAACAATATTTGCCCTTTGAAAGTCAATTATTGGTGATTGCCAACTTAGCAGTCACTATAAAGGCTGCCATAAAACCCTATAACCATTAACATCCTTACAAATGTTGCATTTTCTTCACATAAAGGCACTTATGAATCACAAAGATTTTCACCAATGCCAGTAAATCTGTGGAACCTTAACCTTTGTTGGCTCTGGATATCAGCCAGGCTCTAGCAGGCTGACTATAGGCATAGAGCTGGAAAATGTTGCTAGGTCTTTAGTTCTGTTCTCATTGTCCACTCAGACAAGCATGTGAATTGGTTTACATTGTATAAGCCCACCAATGACATGCCACACCCTGCCTAATGTAGAAGGTGAGTGATACTGTAGTGATGCTGTTCCAAAGACCACGAACAGCTTGCCCTCTTTTTGCCAGTGTCGAGTTGAATTGTAATAGCGGTAGTGCTTGAGACATACGGTGACTCAGTAGCTTATGCAGGCACTGTAGAACATTTCTAGACAATTATTAGTTATTTTTAGAGAACAAAAGTTTCCTGTGTTCAGCCTTTGGCTCAAATATGTTCTTCCAACAGTGGAATAAAAGGAAACATTTTCTCTGTAGTTTTCAGGCTGATTATAGGTCTGCGTGAGTGTGAAGCAGGCCAGACAGTTTCACGTCATAATGATTAATTCAGGATGGCGTCAAAGCCAGACTTTAGTTTATTGTTTTGCTTAAATAACACATGTTCACTCAGCTCTTTTATAGAGGATAGATGATTCACTTAATGACTCCCCTCTTGGTTCTTATGCCTCTTCCATTCTTCAACAAGCAGCCATATAGAGTTGATTGAAACATTGAAATACCCCTGGTTTAATTAAATGTTTTGCTGGTCTGCTAAGCTTTTCTAATATGTTAAAATATATGAATAAATAGAAACTGTGCACTGAAATATGCAGAAAAATGCCATATTTATCTCACATATCCCACATGCCACATAACTCTGTAGAGGATATATCAACATAAAATTTGTGTTAAAAATTTCACTTAGAAAAAGCAACAAAGCATGTACCTTAACCAGGGGTGCTCAAACTTTTGCATATGACTGTATGTATTAGGGCTTGAGTGATATGAGCATTTTGTCACAGATACTGATACTGATTTTATGTATTTTTATGTTTTTTAAATTCTAAATTAACCAATAAAACCAGTCAATACAATTTTAAATGGTCAGAAATTAAAGTCTGAGGACTTTAGATAAGTTGCTTTACTGATTAATATGATGGTCAGCTGTTAACCAGGTGTGGGCTGTTTAGCACAAATCCACAGCATATGGCAAATCTTGGTGATAGAATATGCTGATGTACCAAAAAAAGCAATTAAAAATGGTTCATACAAAATATATCAGGATGATGAAGTACCTGAATAAATGCATAGAGAAACATAATCATTGCAGATGTTTACAGACAGGTGTACTGCATGATCGATGGTTCATTATATGACACAGATTGCAGGAGCCTTTCCTTTAGAACAGTGGTGTCCAACCCTGGTGCTGGTGTACCCCCCCCCCCACCAATTTCCAGTCAAAACCAAGTACAAGTTATTCGTTTTTCAGGGAAAAAAATAGAAAACCTCTAACAGAAAATTACACTGAAGCCTCAACAATTAAATGTAATATCGATTTTTTTCATTTTTAGTGTGTCCTCTCTTAGCCTTTATTACAGCTTTCATTTTTTTAGGAGACTCGCTTTCAGTTTTTAAAGAAATCTGCAGGGATATTCTTCCCACAAGTTCAGTCTTAGAAGTTAGTTACATTTTCTGCTTCTCACAATTCAAGTAATCCCAAACACATTTAGTGATGTTGAGGTCTGGACTCTGGGACTCAAGCTTTCTTCTTTTTTTTTGTCTGTCTCTTTTTCTCAATAAAGTCTTCTTAACAGCTACACATCCTCTCAGACTCAGTGTTGAGTTGTTTTTTCACAGTGGAAGGATGGACAGAAACACCTGTGGATTTTTTCAGATCTGAATCAACAGTGGAGCTTGATTTTCTCCTCTCTCTTACAGATGAGAGTTCTGTTTATCTGATAGGGACAGTTTTTAGTGGTCTACCCAACCTTGCATGATTGTTGGGAGTCCCATTTTCTATGTAGCTTTTAGTTTTTTAAACTCTAGTTTTGGAAATTTTCTGTTTTTCTTGTTTTTTTCCTTCCTTACGTGCAAGTGAATTATTTTACATCTAATTTTCCTGAAAAATAAATAACTTAATTGCCATTTAAATGTTGCTCTCTCACTTTTGCACCATAATGTATATACACTGTAAAAAATGGCTTGTCGGATTAACCCAAAAAAATGACTTTATGTGGTAACATGAAAATTTGCTAGTTTTATTCAACCTAAATAAATACTTTGAATGAACGATTCTTTCAATCAAGGTATTTTTTATTAGTTGAATAAAACCAGTTCAATTGCTTGTTACCACATGAAGCAATTTTTTAGGTTGTTCTGACGAGCCACTTTTTACAGTGTGTTGTCAGTGTTTTTGTGCTGTTTGTAAACACTGACAACACTTTGCATTTCCTGGTGAATGGATCTATAGAAATGGTTCCATATAAAGTTAAAGTTTTTCCTTCCTCCATTTCAACTACAAATTTGGCGATACAAAGTTTTGTTTGGACGTCTATAGATGTCATTTTTGCTGAACTGTTCTCATCCTTTGTTTCCATCCCTCTGTATTTGACTTGATCTCAACCATTAATCGCTGCACGTTCTAGAAAATTTGTCAGCAGCTAAACAAACTGACAGAAGGATGTTTTCACAGATCGTGAAACTGGCGGTTTGCTATCAGTAAATCTCCCATCTTCCTCTGTCTTTCATCCTCCTGTTTCTCTCAGTTTGCAGACACCGCTCTGCGCCGCCATGCAAATTGCCCGTCAGATGAAAGGCGAGAAAGACAGAGCGTTTGTCGTGACGCCTATCAGCTGTTCCATTGCGAGAGATGAGTACAGTGGAAGGGGTTCTGTCAGTCATATCAGAGGGCCCCAAACAATCTAGCTGGGAGCCTAATTTCCAGCAGCTGAGCGACAATAAGAGTTGATTCGCATCCTTCTGCAGCTCCCTTGGTGGAATAATAACACTCAACAATTCCGCCACGTCACCAGCCTCCAAGCTGCCAGTTCCTGTAAGGCCATTGTCTGTTTATCATGCTAATGTTACTGCAAGATTTTGCAGCCTATTTTCCACATGCCTGCTTTGCTGGTCTCAAGTGAAGAAGGCTCAAGGCTATGCTGTGCGCGAGGCAAGACCCGAAGCGGTCAATTTCATGCTTGATGAAGTACGAGAACAAAATCATTGGTTATTGTTTACAGCTATGCTAATGATGATTGTTATGAAGGACCAGAAAGGGCAGTAGAATATTCACTGAGATATGAGATTATTTCCCTGCCTGAAAGATCCACATATGATATTTTTAGCCATTCTTGGTGTGCCAATAATCTACTGACCGGTCCAATCTTCTGCTGTCCCCTGCAGTTGGTGGGCGGTGAGTTTGACCTGGAGACGAACTTCATCATCCAGGATGCGGAGAGCATCGTGTGCATGGTGGATCTGCTGGAGCACTGCCAGGTGACGTGCCAGGCGGAAATCTGGAGCATGTTCACGGCCATCCTGCGCAAGAGCGTGCGCAACCTGCAGACCAGCACGGAGGTGGGGCTCATCCAGCTGGTGCTGCTGAAGATGAGCTCTGTTGACGACATGATCGCAGGTGAGTGTTAGAATACCCAAGCAGCTTAGAGCCACCCTGGGATATGCAGTGTTAGGCAGTGGACTTGCTCTTTTTCGAGTTTATTTATGTCACACTCATGTTTTATTTAACCTCTTAAAGGGATACTCTGACCACAATGAAAAATATGATCATTGCATTAATCATCTGTAAACATGCCTGCTCACCTCTTACAGTGGTGAACAATAGTCTCTAGAGCAAGATTATCTGGTTTAAAGACGAGGAAAAACGCTCTTCCAATGATGTATCTTGAAGGTGGGAGAAATTACAAATATTTTAGGCTTGGTACTGGAGGGTGGGCTGTTAAAAGTATTTTTTTTCCCTTTTTCCGCAAGCCGGCTAACGCAGAAGGAAGCCGGATACTAATGGGAAACTGAATGTCACTTCTGTGTTTATTAGCTTCTATGTCAGACTATGCTAGCAGTCAGGATTATAGGAGTGAAGTGGAGGAGAAGAGTTCCCAATAACTGTCTGGTGTATTTGTGTAATGCATGCTGGGTATTGTAGTGAAAAAAAAATACAAAATAATGAATTCTGTTAAACCTATGAGGCTCAGGGATGCAATGCTGCACCACAGACTATTAAATAACATAAAACATAACATTAAATGCTAGTTTTAGGCTGGAATGTCACTTCAAATTTTGGGCTTTTCTTGGCTCAAAGGTGGTTTAAATCAGAGGTTCCCAACCACCAGGCCATGGACCGACACTGGGCTGTGAATCGCTTGATACTGGGCTGCAATGTGGCAGTGGGCATGGGAGTTAGTTTCTGCTGAAGTCCACTGCTGAAAAGATTTCATTATTATCATTAATGTAATTAATATTGTCAGTAAAATATTTTTCTTTAAGGTTTAATTATTCATATTAAATTTTATGGGATTTTAAATAAGCATATATCACATCTCTGTATGGCCTTGTGCATGTGTGTAGGTTGCTGGAAGCTGCTTTCAGCTGAAGGCTAATGTAAGTGAAGAACATGAATAAAAATATTAATAAATATTTTACTGGAGCTGCAAACACTGAAAAAAACATCAAATGCAAGAATGAAAACAATACCAAGACATAAAAAAGCATATTTTAATCAAAAACTTGATCCACACGTTAAAGAAAATAGTGGATGAAAGGTAGATTTGCCCAAAGGAGCTGGACATTCAAGAGAGAATCAACAGGAGAGCCAAATATACAGCAAATCAACAAATATCTACCAGTTTAGGAAATGTTTGCTGATTTGTTCTCCATAGTATGCAGCACATTCCTGAAATGCAGCCACTATAAAATGATGCACTCAAACCATTGTATGTTTATTGAGGTAGCCTTTTTTACTAGGCAAGCTGCACCCTTGAAAAAAAGGGTTTTTCAAGGGTTCTTTAGGAAAGGAAATGGTTTCTATATAGAACACTTTACATGATTAAGGGGAAGATTCAGATTGATAGTTCTTATTAGAACTTTTTTGTACAGGGCTCTATAACAAAAAAGGGTTCTTCTATTGTTAGCACGTCAAGCTTGCAATAATAGAAGAACCTTTTTTGGTGCTATATAGAACCCTTTTCAAAAAGGTTCTATATAGAACCGTCTACAGCACATACTCCATCAATCTGAAGAACCCTGAAAAGACACTTCTTCTAGGGATTTTAGTAAAGAAAATGGTTCTATATAAAACCATGAACACTCAAAGAACACTTTACATGATTAAAGGGTTCTTTGCACTGTGAAAGCATTCTTCAGATTGATGGAGAATGTGCTGTAGATGGTTCTACATAGAACTTTTTTTGTGCAGGGCTCTATTTAGCACCAAAAAGGGTTCTTCTATTGTTACCATGTCAGGCTTGTAATAATAGAAGAATCCTTTTGGGTGCTATATAGAACCCTTTTCAAAAAGGCTCTATATATAACCATATACAGCACATTCTCCATTAATCTGAAGAAGCATTTTATGATGGAAAGGACCCTTCAATCATCTAAAGTGTTCTTTGCATGTTTATGGTTCTATGTAGAACCATTTTCTGTACTAAAAAACCCTTGAAGAACCGTCTTTTTTGAGTGTGTGTGTAGCAGCTCACTCTGGTTTAGTTTCAATGTATTATTTGCCGCTTACAATCATAATGTCATGTACAAAATAAGGACGTTAGTGGGCCGTGATTGTGTGGTAGGCCTTCATAGGCTAATCAAAGGCATCACATTGACCACCCCACCACAACAACTGTTGTGGGCTGCAGATCAGTCCATGCTGTTAAAATGGTTGGGAACCCCTGGCTTACAATGATGACTGTATTAGTTGTTTATACATACCTACATACATCATCTAAACTGCTTATCCTTCTGGGTCGCGGTGGGGTGCTGGAGCCTATCCCAGCTGTCATTGGGCGGAAGGCAGGATACACCCTGGACAGGTCGCCAGTCCATCGCAGGGCAGACAGACAGACATACATATACAATCACACACACATTCACACCTAGGGGCAATTCAGCATTTCCAGTTAGCCTGACTGCATGTTTTTTTGGACTGTGGGAGGAAACCGGAGTACCCGGAGGAAACCCATGCAGACACAGGGAGAACATGCAAACTCCACACAGAAATGACCCCGGTCGCCCGGCCGGGAATCGAACCCAGTGAGGCTATGAGGCAACAGCGCTACCCACTGCACCACCGTGCTGCCCATTAGTTGTTTAACAAACTCAAAACGTTATGGCAGTCAGCATACTTACTTTATAAAGTTTAAGCAACAAATCTTTTCCACAGTGTATCAAACATACTTTACAAAATCCATGAACACAACAAAACCATCCAAAACATGGAACAGAATGAGAATCAAGAATAAACAGAGCAGCAAGTGACAAAATAGGAGACAGATAACAGTGCAGATGGGGGACCTGAACATACAGTGGAGAAAAGCACCAGACATTTCAGCAGGAGAGTGTAGTTAGAGGAATAGCACTGAGTAAATAGGTTTTGAGTTGAGCTGAAATAAGAGTGAAATCGTGGAGCCTTTAAGGGAGAGTTACTCAGAGAGGGAGCTATTACGCTGAACGCTCTGCCACCCACTGAGGACAATCTGAAACCAGGCACCACGAGCAGACCAGCCTCAGAGGACTTAAGTGTACACGCAGGGCTGTAGAAATGAAGAATATACTGAGGACCAAGACTGTGGATGGCAGAGATGGGGACTCGAGTTAACGACTCAGACTTGAGTCACGCTTGAGTCGCATGTTAACTGACTTGCAATTCGACTTAGACTTTCCCTTAAATGACTTACTACAACTGAAATGCACTAACATGCAATGTTCAATGTACTAAGGCTGTTCTGAGGAGTGCAGATTGCGCGCAGGACCGTCAACTAACCGCTAGTGTGATAGTGGTGTTAATACATTGTTTTCCCCACCAAAACATTTTATGGGGTTGTATTTCTACTGTAGAATTTGGGAAACAATAAGATGGACTGTGTGTGTGTATTGTAGCAGCATTGAGGAATGTTTTGCATCTGATCTTGAGATTTAAGATAATCTTATTTTGCTGGTAAATATTATTTCAGCTTATTATCCATCTAGTTGCTATTGCCACTCCTGTTGTTAAAAGAAGCCTCCAAACAACATTCTTTTGAGACACTAATACAGATTTACACTTGATTTTAAAACTTCAATAGAAAATCAATAGAAAAGTAAAACCAACCACTGTTAGTTGTTCAAACTGTAGTAAACTGAGTGGATTTTATAATCAGCCCCAATTTTTTTCCCACATTTTGTACAATCCTCCCTCAAATACAGGCGGTGGCCCCAAAAAGTTTGGACATTTGTCTCATACTAAAAAATGCATTTGTGTTTATTGTGTTAGGAAACAAAATGTCAAACCAAGTGGCATTTATTTAAAGCAGGCCATTCCAAGACTGCCATTTACTTTTTGGTAAAGTGTTCTTTTGAAAGGCAGCTGCTGTATTTCCAGCAGTTTCTTTGCAGAATTCAACATCAAAATGCCATCTGAGGTCATGATCCCATTAATCCATTAAGACCACAAGCTCACCGACACTATAGTACATAATGGGCAGAATGCATCTGATTTGAAATGAAACTGATGCAAAAGGTTCAATACATGAGGCCCCCAAACTCTAGATTGATGATGTGAAATTTCAGCTTAAGAAAAAAGAAACACAAGAAAAAGCAAATCTGGCAAATTAATTATTTTCAGAAGGTACAGATCATTTTTAAACAGTGACAAGTTTCTATAATTATTGCTCATTTTGAGGTTTACTGAAAATACAAATGCAAAAATACAGTGCTCACTAGAAGGGAACAGAGCGACTCCTTTTCTGTCCACATCAGATGTACAAGTACACAGTCAGGACCAACCCAGACAGAAGCATTCAGTGCGTTCAGTATAGATATTCTAACAGGTTTAGTTAAATTGCTTTAGTTAGAGACACAAGACTTGACTCTCTCTCAGCTTCATCCATTTGATTTTTATTGTTTTCATGCTTTTGTTTATCAGTGTTCTCTCACTACAATACCCAGCATGCAAAAATATGTTGTACAATCATTGGGAATCCCTGTGGCGTCAACCAATTCTGACTGCTAGCCTAGACACTGAGAATATACAAACAAAGCTAGCAGTATTTGCAACTCTGCCCTTGGTCGTCAAACAAAATAAAATTAAAAACTAAAAACAAGACAAAACAACAATAAAAACAAAAACAGCAATTTTGTCTTTAGTAACCACAGAATCGACACCAGTTACGTGTTTTTACCTTTTTTAATTGATGAAAAAAGCCAAACTGAGGTATCTGACAGTTCATTTCTGTTATTTAGATAATCCATTCTCTCCATTGTAGTGATGATTTAAAGACAGTTACCACAGTTAATACAGATATTTGCCTTCCTAGCCTTAGTGTTAGCCATCTGTCTTCCTTTTGCATTCATGAGGTATAGAAAAATAATAACAAATAATAGTGATAAAAAAGCATTTTAAATCAGCCCGGCACCATAAACCTACCCTAAAGCAGTTGTAGTATCTCCAAACTTCAAGATATGTGTTCAGAAAGCTTTTTCTTCTAGTTTTTGACTATTCTATTGTACTGCAGAAAGTGAGTAAACATGTTTACAATGTGTAAAGCAATGGTTATTTTATGTTTTTATTTTGGTTAGAATGTCCCTTTAAGTTATTGCAAACAGACAAAGACATTAATTAATATGATTTAGATAAGTTAGCCCAAACTTTTGACGAACAGCTTACATTAAGTGTGTAATTCATAGCACAGGTTTATTCCCAAAGAAAGCAGATTCAGGTCTCTTAGTCTTCAGGCTAATTCAGTTGGAGCTGAGCAGAAGCTGATCCTGATTCCACTGCACTTTTTCCTCTCTCCAGACTGTAATCTGAGCTTTAGAGCCACGTGGCGTAATAAACAGAACATGGAACATGACCGTTCTGCGTATAAGGTCAGAGATAACACATTTAAAGCTGCTCTGAACAGCAGGAGAAGATGCAAACAAAGCCGTAGATTTACGTTCTCTGCTAATGTCTGCGGTAGCCTTAGAACACACATGGGGGGGTGGGGGGTGGGGGGGTATGGATTAAGTTGATATCTCCTCCACAGCAAAATTACCAGGCTGAGGAAGGAGAGAGAGATTGAGGGAAAAATCTCATTAGTTGCAGTCTGTTTCCATAATGAGAATGAATGGCAGTTTAGAGGAATATTAAATTTTCCTTTCCGTTTATGAATGACAAATACTGATGCCCTCCTTTTTCCTGTAATTGATGTGCTCTCGCCTGCTCTGTCTGCATATTTTCACTGCGTGTCATTTCTTACCGTCAGCGATGTGAATTCTTTCTGAAGTAGCTGCTGAGGCTTCGCCCTATGCTCAGTCCCGACCACGCTCCCGACAAAGCGTAAAATGAAGACATTACACGGCACTAATCAATAAAAATTGGCTAAGATTTGGATTAGGATTGGCGAAAGTGTAGGTCCTTATCTGAAAGCTTTGCGTCACATTGAAAGCACAAGTTTTCTATCTGTAGATATTTTTGCTGAGTTCCAGCACTGTGCAAATGTCAGAGACCATCTGAAAATATTTATTTTAATAACTCCAGTAAACTTTGGACAACAGATGTGCAGGCTGGTTGACTGATTGTGTACATTTGAATATTTGCAGAACTATCACTATGTCTTTCTCTCGTTCTCTCTCTCGCTCTCTCTCTCTCTCTCTCTCTCTCTCTGTTATCAGATCTGCTGGTGGACATGCTGGGAGTGCTGGCCAGTTATAGTATCACAGTGAAGGAGCTGAAGCTGCTCTTCAGCATGCTGAGAGGAGAAGGAGGATTGTGGGTAAGCCAATGGCAGCCCCTGGACCACAGTTTAGGACTTCGCTGTCCCTCACTCTGCCCTGTGGTCAGTCAGTCAGTGATACTCTCCCAAGCCACCAGAGCAGTCAGCTTCAGAATGACCGGAACCTCCCAAGATATCGACTCACTGCTGGCTGGAGTGAGAGCTATTGATGCAGTATTGACGCTGGTAGTTGCCAGAGTGAAGATGCTGTCACAATAGCTCTCATTTTCTGAGCGGAGTGGAGTACACCTCATCAGAAAGGCCTAAGTTGTTAGTAGGGGAGAGTGTACTGTGTAACAGCCAGGAGGGATTTGATTAATGTGAACATATATTTAAATATTTGGCCTGAGAGTAAATTCAATGTATTGTACATTAAAAACGCTACAGTGCCAAGGCCTATTGTTATGTTTTTGCATCTGTTATGTTACCTTGACATAATGTGTGATAATGTGTAATATCCTCATTATTTTTAGCCAATATTGAAATATTTGACTTTAAGCACTGAAGTATGACAAGCAAAAATTAAATCTAGTGTACATGAAAATGTTTAACATGCTGTGGCACTAATGCATACATGGATTTCTGATTTCTGATGATTAATCTTAGCCGAGGCATGCAGTGAAGCTGCTGGCTGTGCTGAATCAGATGCCACAGAGACACGGGCCGGACGCTTTCTTCAACTTCCCCGGCCGGAGTGCTGCTGTGAGTTTTCTGTCCATTCAAATAATCCAATTTTTTTTTTTTTTATCATGAATGCATTATTCTATCTACATTTACTGCTTCTGTAAAAGTGAGGAGCTCGTTCTTTTTTTTGTAGTAATTGCTGTTCTTTTAATTTGATGAGGATCATTAATAGTAATAATAATAAAAAAAAGAAATAGAAAAAGAAGGAGAAGAGGCTGAAGAAGAAGTGGGGATAACAAAAACAATAGGGTTCCAGTACTATGTGCTGAAATAATAATAATATTAATAATATAATAATAATAATAATAATAATAATAATAATAATAATAATGACAACAATTGCTGTTTTTATTATATTTTTCTTACATTCTTCTTTTTCTTCTTCTTCTTTTCTCTTCTTCTCCTTCTTTTTCTATTTGTCCTTCTTTTCTTCTTCTTCTTTTTCTTCTTGTTCTTCTTCTTCCTTTTCTTCTTCTTCTTCTTCTCATTATTATTATTATTATTTTTATTATTATTATTATTATTACTCTTTTTGCAAAAACAATCGTATAGATATGGAAGGCAAAGACACTATTGTTCAAACTGAATACGCCCAGTCAAATGTCATGTTTTGTTGATTTTCTAGGTGGAAATAAGTTTACACATACTTACGGAGAACAAACTTAAATATGACATTTTTCTGCAACATTTAGTGCAAAAGAGTTTAACCCTTAATATCCCAGCTTATTACATGCTAAGGCTTATTATTCAGTAACTATAGGAACTTCAGTGCAAACTGGCTGAAGTATGGCTATTGCTTGCAGGCCCTAGCCATCATGTTTTATTTTTTTAAGCATGTTAAATTTTGCAAATAAGCAGTAATTTTAACAAAATTGTGGGGAAATGTTCTTTGTAGAGGATGTGTTAACTTATTTTCACATAGAAAATCAACAGAACAAGGGACATCCAAACCTTTGCAAATGACTGTACTTGCCCTCTTCATTGTGTTTAGACTAAAATATCTGGTAAGTGTAGAGCAATAAAGGGGTGCAACAGTAGTAAGCATAAAAGGGAGGATGACTTGTAGAGGGGTGTTTGGTCCTCGCACATTGCCACTTTTGCTTATAGTTAGGGGTCCAAGCACTGTTTCAAGGAGCTCAATTTGTTAGCATTTTTCTTTTTCCTTCTACTTCTTATTTATTTAGCTAATTATTAATTTACAGCATCTCTTATTTAATAAACTGCTTCTCAAAGTGCTCAGGTTTAAGTGAAATAGCCATAACAAATAGCCAAAAAAAACATGGCATGGTCAACACAAACACAAAATATGTGCCTACACTGTTTGCAATGATAAGAATCTCCTGAGCTCTTTTTTTTGCCAGGCGATTGCTTTACCTCCCATTGCCAAGTGGCCTTATCAGAACGGCTTCAGTCTCAACACCTGGTTCCGCATGGATCCCCTCAACAACATCAACGTAGACAAGGACAAACCCTACCTTTACTGGTGAGTTAATCACCATCACACATCTGCTTGACAATTAAGGAACGAGCCTTGCAGGTTGGACTAACCGGCAGCAGCTGGTGTCTTTAAGAAGATTAGACTGGATGCTTTGTTTTTTTTGGGTGTTGATGTCCTGATGTCCTGCCTGTTCCGCCACATGCAGAATGAGCTTTGTTAAGGGATTTTGCTTTGTGATGATGCGGTGGATTATGCTGGCATGAAAGAGAATTAGGTCAGATTTTGCTGATTGCACGATACAAATGTGAACCTGGGGTGGGCGGAACGTTCCGGAATCAGAGGCGGATCTCCGCAGGGGGAGAGAGGTTTTAATTTGGGCTTTTAATGTCTGGAGCAGAGAAGATGTGCTTTATGTAGAGACTTGTGGCTAATTAAAGCTGAGATCAATAGCCCGGAAGCACTGTGTTTATCTGCAGCGGTCCCAGGATACATGGAGTAAAGCCTCAGTGTAGACAGAAGTGTGCGTATGAGTGTATGTGTGTGTGTGGTGGGAACGGATGGTGGCAGGGACGGAAGGGCTGTGCAAACATTTGAAATTGGGAAATGGAAGAGTGCAAAGAAGATGAAACAAAAGGAAAGTCTTTGTCATCATTATGTGTCAGCCGTTCTGGACATGGGCTGAAGATGTACAGTACTGTGCAGGAGTCAGAGACCATGCTTGATTTATTTAATTTCCAGCCAAAAGTACAAGTGATTAAAAAAGTGTCAGGACAAAAGCCAGAAACTCATTTAAATTTACACAAGGTCTGGACCCTGGAATGGTCAGTGTATTTTTGGTTTATTTCTTTTCTCGGTAAGAGCTTCTTGACAGCTACACATCCTTTCAGACTTATAGTGTTGTCTTCTCACAGTGGAAGGATGGACAGAAACACCTGTGGATTTTTTCAGATCTGAATCAAGAGTGTAACTGTCTCCTCTCTCTAAAAAGTAAAAGTATTGTTAATCTAATGGGGAAAGTTTTGGTGGTCTACCTGGTCTTTCATTGTTGTTAGGAGTTATCTTTTCATCAGTTTTTGAACTTTTTTAACAGTTTAAAAAACAACTTTTTTACTTATTTTACTTTGACTTTCCATTTCCATATGCAAGAAATAAATTAATGTAGATCCAATCTCCTCAGAAATATCTCCTGAAAAATGAATAACTTGTATGTGATGACTGACAAGAAATTAAATAAATGAAGGGGGGATGTAGATGTTATATATTTATAAAATGGATAGTTCTGGTCCTAAAGTGTGATTGGCTGAGCCATGCTCGAAGCTGTTGTAAAATACACGATATACGCATACCTAGGCCCCCCTCACAATAACTGATCTCTGTATTACTGTACCACATCTTTAAGAATCCATGTGCTATTAATTGAATAATATTTGACTCTAATGCTGCTCGCATGAACCACCAAGTGTACTGATGAAGTAAGAACCTGATTTTGTTAAAACTGAGGGGCTTATTTTCTTTACTAGAACTAACAGGTTAACAGGCTAAACAAATCCAACATTAATATCACATGCTCAAATTAAAGTACTCATGACGAGATTCACTGTACAACTGTAATATGAAAGTCTTGTCAGAAGTGCCAGAAGTAGCATCAAACCCAGACTCTGTACTCCCTAAATAGTGTGTATGTTTTGAAATTCTAGCTTCTGCAGACAAATAATGCGCTATTTGTCGAGTATGGATGTGGCTGAATTCCAAATGGCTGTTTTTTAAGATGCGTTATGCATGTTGTGGTGCAGGAGCCAGTATTTAAATTCCTACTTAGTGAACTTTGTGTATTTTATCATACTTTATGTTGGCCGCTGTTTTGTAAAAGCGATAAGCCACTTTAAGCTGTGAGTTACTGTGACCTTCCCTGTGATAAAATCGCAGTAGCTCATGGCCTCTCATGGCTTATTGCTTTAATCAACACAGAACTCTGAACCCAAACCCTGACAAACAGCCCCAGACCATTATCCCTCTTCCACCAAACTTCACAGGTGGTATTTTGCATTCTGGTAGGTTGCGTTCTCCCCAGATTCCTCTCAGATTCATCTATCAGACTGCCAGATAGTGAAGTATGATTCATCACTCCAGAGAACACGTTTCTACTGCCCCAGAGTCCAGTGGTGACGTGCTTTACGCCGCCCCAGCTAATGCTTGGCATAGTGTATGGTGATCTTCTGCTTGTATCTGGCAGCTCAGCCATGAAAACCCATTTCATGAAGTTACAGATGCACAGACCTTGTGCTGATTTTGCTTCCAAGGCCAGTTTAGAACTTTATAGGGAATGATGTAACAGAGCATAGGTGATTTTTTATGCTCTACGCGCTTCAACACTCAGCAACCCCACACTGTGAGTTTGTGTGGTCTGCTGCTTTGTGGCTGAGCTCTTGTTGCTCTAAGATTCTTCCATTTCACAAAAATTGCATATGTATGACTGAAGAGTCTCATCTTTCTTCTATCTTTGTGAATATAAAGTTTGTACATAACCCCATATACCCTGACTGTGTTTTAGTGTTTGTACCATTTGTATTCAGACACCATACAGGCTTAGCTCTGCCTATGAAAGGTCCAGGGTGATGTACCATGCTAATCTTGTTTCAGGCCCCTCTCTCAGTCCTCACAGCTCTCAGCCAACCCTCAGCCCCAGACCAGAATTAGAAAAATCTCTTGAAACGAGTTCCTAAGAAATTTCACAATGCAAAGTTGATGTCTACAAGAGGATGTTTAACAGTTTCAAGTGTTGCATATATTTAGTATAGATAACTGAAGCTCTGAGCTACATTTTAGTTTGAGACACTGTTCTGTAGCCAGAGGACAGAAGTGGCCCTATCTTGGCCGTTATCAGTGTCTGATCCATGTTAATTTCCTTTGAGTCTGTCCTGGGAAAGGGCAGAGGATTAAAGACTCCAAGACGGTCAGCTATTGCAAAGGTCTTCATTTACCTCACCGTATAAGACACAAGAGTTTTTTCTGTGTGTATTGTTGTGATGCTTGAGTCACAGGACACAAAGACCCTCTTGTTGTTTTGATGGTTCGGTAGATCTGGTTTCATTGCACCTCAGAGTTAAAGCAATAGTTCAAACATCCACAATTTTACCCATACCCTACACAAAGTCCATCATGTTTGGCGTCTGAGGTTTGCTTCTTTAGATTTGCACTGGAGCTACGAATCTGATGTAGGTAACAAGTAATGGAAGCTTATACTGTATCAATTAGGCTTGCCTCAAACTGTTAACTTTTAATAGTAAGTTAAGAATCATCTGTGGCTTTAGATACATTATCTTGTAGCTCCAGTGCAAAACTAAAGAAGCAAACTGTATATATTAAAGCTGGGGTTACACTACATGGCCTTTACCCTAATATTAGCCCAGATTCTCAGTCTGGCTGCCTATATGGAAATAAATTATATGGGTGTATATTTTTATATATTTGTAATGCATTTCAAATACATCGCAATCCATACCGAAATACATTCCAAACACTAAAATGTATTTCAGAATATATTGCCATATTAACCAAATATTTTTATATTTTATTTTAAAGTACATTTATTTGAAAATGTACAGGAAAATATTATATATGTAAAAGTATTTATAAAATACATTTGTAAATAATAGCCAGAATACTTGTACATTTGTATTGCAGTATTTTAAATGTAATTAGTATCCAATGATAATGGTTCCAGATACTGGAATACAAGTTTACGTTTACATGGCAAAGGCAAGATATTGATACACAGTGAAAATGCAGTTATGATTTGATATCTTGTTTATATGAAATACATTTTGTGTAAGTGCTGTCTGCATATGTACATGGTTAATGCAAAGTTGGTACCGTTCATTCAGGTTGTGTATATTTAGTTATTTCTGTAACCTTTCTTAAAACTACATACAATTTTAATATATTTAATATACACATCAAAAAAAATATTTTTGATAAATATATGTGGAAAATACATTTAAAATGTTTTTAAAATGTATTTAATACATTTTCATAGATTGCAAAAATATAAATATAAAAATATATGTAATAAGTATGTTTAGAACATATATATCTATTCAGACTAGTCGGAATATATCAAACATTTGATTTTCTTTCGACCCATCTGAACATAATCCTGTACTTGTCAGTGACTTAATTTGAATAGACTCCTTCATCAGCCAATGAAAACTGAGCATGCCAAAGAAGAAAATACAGCAAGAAAAGAGCACAATGGTGAAAAGGCACTCATGAACTTTTCAATATAATGAATTTTTAATGAAGTGTAAGGCACAAGCACAATTTAGTGCATGTGCGTCTAAAACTCTAAAAACTATCACACTAATCACATATTTACATCCATTACCCTCACATAAATATGTTTACTAAATAATAATTTATATATATTAATATATATTATATATTAATAAATTAAACATTAAAGAATGTGTGATCCCCAAAATTTCAATCGCCCAAAAAAGGGCCAGTCAGATGGTGGGAGATACCCAGTCTTTTGATGATCTGTTAGGACTTTAAAATGAATTAATTTACTACATTTGATGTAAGGGGAAAACAGTGGATTTGATTTGTCACTGTAGAAGTGAAGTGGTGATTACAGTCTATTGTTGAAGAAGCTGTTGGTAACATAGCTGGGCCGTGTGGGATCTGCACAGAGCTCTGAAGAGCGGCTTTTAGCCAAAGCACTCAGAGCCAGATTCAATGCCAAACAGCCATCTACAGTGGTGTTTGCCTGTGCCAACTACAGTACTACTCTCTCATACTCTCCCTCAAAAAATGCCCTGCATGCCAGGCAGCGTGAGAAACAGAACGTTTGTCACTTTCTGCAGTCCATACCACAGCACAGCTGAGAGTCAGTCACTTTCAGTGTAAGTTATAGCTGCACTATGTAGGATTTTTGTTAACGTTGAAAGAAGCAGCATTGCTGATTCAGGAGAAAAAAGGAATACACTAAAATATGATGTCTGTGTGCTGCTGCAAGCCACCCTATAAAGCCTGAAATAATAATTTAAAAGTCAGAGGTCAGATTTTGTGGGTGTTTTTCAGAGCATGTCATGTGTCTTCCCGTATTAATGTTACACACTCAGGCTCATAGAAACGTTCCAGCTCCATGTTTAAGTCTACAATGCAAAATCAACATTATACCAATGAAAATGTGATGACAGTAGTATATAATTCTCTTCCATCCTTGGAAGACATGTCCTAGATCAGGGGTCGGCAACCCAAATGTTAAGAAGAGCCATTTTGTCTTTTCAAACCACATTTTATGTCCATTTTACCATCTTGGCTGTAAGTATGTCTCAGTATGTGCTGCTGTACTAGTATAGGCTAACAAATTTAATATAAACGAAAACACAGACTTACTTTGCTCTACAGTTTAGCTCAGCTATGATCACTTTTCTCACATCTCTGGCAGGAAACTTTTCCAAAAGCAGAACAGTTCGAGAAATGTCTCTAAACATTCGACTTTTTACAAGGCTGAAGTCAGTTTCTCATTCGCCAGCTTCTTGTTTGAATTTTCACATTCCACCTTAAATGCTGCAGCAGGCCCTATTTAAATTGTAACAAAAAAAAATTGAATGAGAAGAGACTTCAGCTTCATGACTTTTTAGTGTTTGACAGTTTCTCGTTGCAGATTAAACATTTCAGGAAACTGGAGTGATTATAAATGCAAATAAGTCCATTCTTTCGTAAACTACTAGTCAGGCCAGATTGTTATCTGTGTTGCTATGAGACCAGCAGTCTGTGCGCTAACTTTCAAGGTTAAAGGTTGAATTAGCAGTTATACATTAACTCCAATGTTTAAGACCATTTATTGTTAATACTGTTAACGACCAGCAAAGCTTTATTTCACTGCAGTTGCCGACCCCTGTTCTAGACTAAATTTTGACTCAGTTATTTTTTGAATACTCTTTCACCAGATGTATCAACTTGAGGAGGGGATCTGATGCAGAACTAACATTACAAAATGTTATTCTGCATGGTGCATTCAGTTTCCACCAGAGAGGTCCAAATCCCCAAAACTTACACAGTGTAGCTTTAGTGTAACAAGATTTTACTTTAACTAGCATTTCTTCAGGCCTATTAATGATGTCATTTTCCCACAGTATTAAGAGCAGCTAGTGCTTACAAGTTATTAACTAACTGAAAACAATAGAGATTTAGGATTTTGTCCTGACAGCACCCTTATGTGTATATACATGACTGAATGTCTGATGAAAGGAGCAAGATGTTTGGTGCATGAATCACCCCAGCAGTGCTGATTGAATGTGTTTGCTACAGAAGCTAAAAGTTCCATATATTAGCATTCATAAATGTGGAGCTGGGGATTCCAACAGCAGCTACCATAATGAATCATTTAAACACACACAGGCGATGTAGTGAAGAGGTGTGGGTGTCCTATCCTGAGGGCTTAGCAAACCATTAGCGAACTAATTATATTGACTTGTTGAAATGTTGCTCTCACTGGTAATGTTGTGCAGGCTGATATGGCTCATCTGTTGAGATTTCGTGAAAGGTTGTTGATGTATTTCACATGTACGCTTGTGTCTTTTCGACAGCTTCCGCACCAGTAAAGGTGTTGGCTACTCGGCTCATTTTGTGGGGAACTGCTTGATCGTGACGTCGCTCAAATCCAAAGGCAAAGGCTTCCAGCACTGCGTGAAGTACGACTTCCAGCCTCGCAAAGTAAGCTCTTTGATTTGTGTTGGTTCTGTGTCCGAGTAGGTAACTGAGCATGCTAAGAACTTTGTGTGATGATACTTCTATAATAAAATCCAAATGGATTAAAATAATTTAAAGCCAAAAAATCAAATGTACACATTTTTCCCCCAAATCACAAATCAAGTCGATCAGCTAAGTTGGTTTTGCAGTGGAGTTACAAGACTAATGTAGCTAACAGGTAATGGATGCTTATGATCACCAGTTAGCATTGTGCAAACTGCACGTCTTAATCATTAAACACTCGCCTCGAACCACACTGTCTTGTTAAGTAATTTCAAATTTAATTGCTTATGTGGTTTTATAGCAAAGCAGGATGCAATTGCAAGCTTATTGAAGTTCGGATTTACAACTAGAATTAATTAGCAGGCAAGTACAGAGAGTTCTAGGGTATTCATGGGTAAAACAATGATAGAAAACAAACACAGTGAGTGAAAAATGCAAGAACAGGAAGAAAACAACAATGCTTACAAACAAGGTGACTATAGGCAACAATTATTCAGTGGAGCTACAAACAAGACACAGGTGAAGGAGATGACAAAAGCACAGAGCTAGGATGGAATGAAGGAAACAAAAATGGGGTGGGACATTACCAGGGGAACTGTGACAGGTTTCTGTGAGATACTGTTGTCTGTAAAAACTACTGTATTTAGCTTGGCAATATACTTTTATCCATTTTATAGAGAACAGATATAGTAAACTAAAGAAACAAACATTCTTTCTGGCTGATCAACTATATTTAGGGAAAGGTGAAAATTGGATAAATGTGGTGTTCTGCCAAACTATTCTTTTACTGCTGGGACATTTATCATGCTTGAGTGTTTCTCTGCATGTCACGTTAAAAACAACAGCTTCAGACGTCTTTAGAAATATTTACAATTTTATATAGACCTCTTTGATTCATCCTTTACACATCTGCTACCTTTCAGACAATTAAAATGAGCATGCTGATGTATGGCCCGAAGCAATTAGGTCCGCTTTGAGGTCTATAGACTGATTAAATGTGAATTTAGTGTCAGGTGAAATTATTTTAAGGGTAATATAAGTGATTAAAAGGAGTGTAAAGCCTTTTTTCCACCCATGGGTTCAGTGAATATATGTGGGCTTGTATTTGGTTTTTAATTCCTTTTTATCTCTGGCCATTTGGCTTGGCTAGAGTTGTGTTCAATTAAAGCTGGAATTTTTTCCTTTAATGATTAGATGCAGTGATTACAGATTTGATAAAAGATTAATATGTTTGTTATGGCACATAAGAATGTCTATGTGTGCAAGATAAAAATGCATTAAAGGGCCCATATCCTGCATTTGTCTTTTAACACTCTTAATTCATTTTTAAGCAACCACTTTCCAACCTCTCTTACTTAGAATTAAACAGTTTTTCTTACTGGGCCTTTAAGACTAATATATGTAAATTAACTCTGTTCTGATTGGCTGTCTTGTATTTTGTGCATGTGAACACTTGTAACTTTATGTTTGTCATTTAAAGAAAAATAAAGTAGGATAACATAGTTGTAGGCTGAGAGCAAATTATGATTTCTACAGAAATTATGATTTCCTGTGTTGTTGGTGGTTTAAATGTGAATTTAATTGGCCAGAAAAAGAATTGAGTTTCATTTGAGAAAGAGAAGCAACATATAATTGCCTCATACAAACACTGTATTAAAAATGTGTAACAATATCCATGTAGATTTTGGAAAATATCAACAATATATTGCAATATATTCTGCTTTTTTAAGATGGGATATTTTAACAAGACAGTCCTCTCTCAGTCTGTATATATAATAACAGAGTATGCGATCTCATGTTCATGTTGCTGCGTGAACTAGATTTTCTCCCTCTGCACAAATACATTTTGACCCTTTGGAGAAGCCACTATAAAACTCATTAGGAGCTCAGCTCCCTCAAAATTATACTGTACCCACTACAGCTGTGTCCTTGCTTTTAAACTTAGCTCTTCTCTCTCTCAATCAGCCCAGCGTCTGATCTATTATTCATGTCTCAATTCAAATTTTAGTGCTTTAGACTCTGTGCCTGCTCGCGGCCGCCCTTAAAAGAAGTTTTCTGGGTGAAATTTGTGTTTCCACTGGAGGACGGAAAATGAACTAGAACTGGCATGACGGCAAAGTCTTCACCTGAAAAGACATTTATAGCATGTTTCACACTTAAAACTGAGAAGACCACCTTCCTCAGTGCTGCCAAACCTGTCAGAACTGACAAAGTGTCTATCTATCTATCTATCTATCTATCTATCTATCTATCTATCTATCTATCTACCTATCTATCTATCTATCTGTCTGTCTGTCTGTCTGTCTGTCTGTCCGTCCGTCCGTCCGTCCGTCCGTCCGTCCGTCCGTCTGTCTGTATTATCTATCTATCTATCTATCTGTCTGTCTATCTATCTATCTGTCTGTCTGTCTGTCTGTCTGTCTGTCTGTCTGTCTGTCCGTCCGCCCGTCCGTCCGTCCGTCCGTCTGTCTGTATTATCTATCTATCTGTCTATCTATCTATCTATCTATCTATCTATCTATCTATCTATCTATCTATCTGTCTGTCTGTCTGTCTATGTGACAGTATGTCTGTATTATCTATCTATCTATCTATCTATCTATCTATCTATCTATCTATCTATCTATCTATCTATCTAAAAAGCTTAAGATAGAAAAGAAAAGCTTAAAATATGCTGCACTTAAAAAAAAACAACAAAAAAAACAAATGTTCACTCTACAACTGTAGAACATCTTCCTAAACTAGGAGGTCATTATAGTTTTTTTACTGTCAAAGACACCGTCTTCAGTGTAATCAGTCTTCAGTGTAATCAGTCTTCAGTGTAATAACCTACTGTTGCTACTTTTTTGTAGGAAATGAATCCCTTGACTTGGGACTTGAGTGTGAAGACTTGAGACTTACTTGTTACTTCCAACTTAGTGACTTGTTCCCCCCTCTGGCTCATAGTAGCCAGCTGCATTTCTCCGAAACATAGCTTTCATGTAGCTGAGCTAATTTATTGTAGAATAACTGGTTGCTGCATGTTTAAGTAGCTTGTCCAGCATTGCTATACATTGTTCCTCTCCTTTTCTGTCTGCAGTGGTACATGATCAGCATCGTGCACATCTACAACCGCTGGAGAAACAGTGAGATTCGCTGCTACGTCAACGGTCAGCTGGTGTCGTACGGCGACATGGCCTGGCATGTCAACACCAACGACGTAAGAGACACCGATGCGCTCCCCACCGCGTCCCTCTGCTGTTTTGATGTTTGATGCTGCAGGGCTGCCTGGCGCTGCTGTTTGACCGTCAGCACGCTGTGAAATTAGACTCCAGCACATACAGAGCTTTATCTCCACACTCTGTCAAAAGCGCATTCATTTCTGTTTTCCCTTTTCAGCATCAGTCCTTGCCTCGTGCCCACTGACGCTTCAAAACACTTATTTTATTTGAAGATTTATTTGTCATCATGATAGGCGGAGTGGGGGTGGGGGTATGTTGAGGCGGTTCTGAATGCATGGTTCTTTATCTGTGTGCAAAATGTTTTATTGACATACATTGCCTGTCAAAAGTTTGGGGACACTTGATGTTTCATCTAGCTGATCGTGTTTGCGTTTGGCCCTGTTTGAGCTGGATTAGTTTAGTTTAGGCAAGAAACTACTGTCAGAAATTACCATTTTGGTCCCATCACTCATTTTTTCAAGTTGCGTCTATAACTTGCAATCATAAAATGTCTACACTAGCACTGCTTAAAATAATAAATCAAGATTAATAACAATATCTTCTCTAGTTAATTACTTTCACCAATTCAGTAACTGGGCTTCGAAGGGTCAAACTAGGAAACTAGAGATTAAAACATTTAGCAGCATTAATCGTTTAACTAGTGTTTTATAACACATAGCTAAACTCAACAGATGTGTGTTTATTTTAGCGTTTTTGGTCAGTTTACATCCACTTGCTACTAACTGTATTTAACATAATTTAGCAGCTTTAATCAAGACTTAGTTCCACCCACAGCTGACACAGCCACATCATGTTATATATAAATGAAAAGCTTGTTTCCAGTTATGCCTGTTTCCTTTGAAATAATGACAGATTCATACAAGTGGTGCTTTTTTCAGAGGTCACACAGTTTTAAGGCACATATTTCAAACCATTTTTTCTTAAATTCACCTTTTCTCTCCATTCAGAACCAAAAATCTCTGCTTCTAGAATTCCTTCACGAAATTAATTCATAGCATTTTACATGTTCACTCCAACTTTTCATATTCTGAAGGATATTACGGAGGAATTTTTAATATATTGCTAATAGGTGGATTTATGGCAGGTTGTGTGTAAATGACCTGAAAGACCTTCACTGGAGTAATTCCCCACTGTAACATTATCCAAAGGCTAGATTTTTAGTTTATACTATTTTTCTTTGCAAATTTGATTAGATGACATCTGAATATCTAAGTGTCATTTTTTTGGAAAACTTCAAAAAATATCTTTAGTTTTAAAAAAATTGCCCTATTGACCTGTAGTACCTGGAGTCATGATTACTGAGATCAAATTTTTAAATCCAGTATGAATCTGTAATTTCCACAGTTTTTACAGCCTGGCACTACTAATTGCAGTGAATGGTCTCCTGTAGTCATCTGAACTTCAAGCTCCATTAGCGGTCCTGTGACGTTATCCTATGATATGATGTCCAGATTGAAAGGTTGTTGCTCAGACCGTCTGTGAGAATTTAGGGAAACTATAAAGAATGAATTGGTGAGTCAAATCCCACAATTTATATTGCACGACTAAGCTCCACTAGTGCTTTTGTCAGTTTTAACATGCATCCTGTTTGAGCTGCATCATCACCAGGCCCCCAACTTTTGCCTGCCAAAGTGTGTCCCTGGAATTGAGCTGCGTAGACATGAGAGGACCGTTTGAAAGAAGCTGTCCATTCACCTCCATAAATTTTGGGTTGATTCTATTCTAAAGAGACAGGCACACCATACGGCTCTGTTCTCTTCCACAAAGACTGGACTGTCTGTCATTTGATTCACAGGCTTGACCATCATTTTACAGCTTCAGAATAAACATTTATCTTCAATAGAGATAACACAGAAAATGATGTGATAACACTGCGACTCAAAAGACTGCAATGTAATATTGGAAGTTGAAGCTCCACAATAAGACAAAGCAAGGAGCTGGTTCAGTGCATAACAATAATAACTATTATTATTATTATTATTGTCATTATTATTATTGACAGTTATTATAATTCATGTATTTGTTTATTATATAATGATCAGCACTTTAATACGTTTAGTTGAGGCTGTTTTCGCTGTGTTGTCTTCCTCTTGTTCTCATCTCTAGTTCTAGAGTATATTCTGCACAAACAACTAAAGGTGGAGGAAGTAACAACTAAGATTCATTATGTGGTGAAAATGCAGTGTGTTGTGCTGAGTGGTTGTGATGATTTATCTTCCCTTCAACACGTTCTCAAAAATGTGCTGGGCAGCTCCTACAAGCAGCATGCTTTAGATTTGCATCACTGAGGTGCCTGCGCAGTTTCACGCATAAATTATGGAAATTACAAATTCATGCTAGATTGAAAAATAAGATTTCAGTACGAGAAGCAAGGAAGAGACGCGATTGGCCTCACCTGATACATTGAAAACAGTGGGGTGACTGAGTCCAGTTTATATATACGGTCAATGGTCATCTCAGCAGAGAGGATAACACCTGTGTAGCTTATTTTTCCATCTCCTCTGCCATTTGTTAACAAGTTGTGAGCTAAATGTTTGTTACACAAACAAGGACTCGCAGCACACTTTTTGTCTCATAATAAACAGGGTTCGAAACGGACATAGTAAATGAGCACTGCTTCTTCCAGTCATGAAATCAGATCAAAAGTGGTCACTGAAGAAGCATTTGAGACAAATTGAATAGCTAGATGTAAATGGCTACACATCTCATGGTCCATCTGAGTGATCCAGTAAGTGATCCACTATCCAGTAAGTCATTATTAATAGGTTGAATTGAATTAACTCAAAACTCGATGACGTCAGTTTCAGATTCTGCAAACATTTGCATCGTTTTTCAAAGTTGCTCACAACAAACTTTTGAACTCTGTCAGTAATCTAGCTCTTCCTGATTGCCATGTTTGCTTGCTGCATTTGTTTCCTTTCTACTGTACAGCCTTCTGCCAAATCTCAGTGCTTTGCTTTAAACTTTAAATAACACCTACCGATGTACTCGTGCTTCAGCGTAGGTGCCATTAAAACTCCATCTGTTTCTCCTGCTCCTGTTCTCTGTCTTTTCCTCTGTCTCCTTATCACAGAGCTATGACAAATGTTTCCTCGGCTCGTCTGAGACAGCGGACGCTAACCGAGTGTTCTGCGGACAGCTTGGTGCCATCTATGTGTTCAGTGAAGCTTTAAACCCTGCGCAGATCTTCGCCATCCATCAGCTGGGGCCTAGCTATAAGGTCTGTATCAATCCTGCTGAACGACATCAAACAGTAACCCTTTAGACATCTATTATTACTGTCATTTTGCTGTGCTATTTAGTTACATAGAAGCATAATTAAAGAGGAATTCCATTGACTTACTGCATAATTCAATCATTGAGATGGAGACAAAGTCATTCCGTGTGGTTTGATGTGAAATGGTTCATTGTAGAGAAACTTGTAGACTGATATTTTTACAGTGGGTAGTGCTGTCACCTCACCAGCTGGGTGACCAGGGTCCTTTCTTTGTGGAGTTTGCATGTTCTCCCTGAGCCTGTGTGGGTTTCTTCTCATGATCCAAAGATGTGCAGTCAGGCCAGCTGGAGATGCTAAATTGCCCCTAGGTGTGAATATGTCTGTCTGTCTCTCTGCCCTGTGATGGACTGGTGATCTGTCCAGGGTGTTTCCTGCCTGTGTACACGGGATAAGCTCTAGCACCTCCCACAACCCGGGAGGGTAAACAGATCATGAGTGAGTGAGTTTTGGCCTTAGAGCACCCTGCATAGACCTCTCTGGTAAAAATGTGTGATGGCAAGCAATGTGCAGAAGAACATTTTGTAACATCAGTTGTATTTTGAACCCCTTCCCCAAGTGGATGAATCTAAAGATTGGAGCACACTGAAAGAGTTCTCACAGAGAACTGAGTCAGAACTTGGTGAAGGATGTGTTGTCCGAGGTTGTAAATGAATTATCTTCCTTTTTTTTCTTTTAAGAAAAAATCTAACATAGAGCTGCTTTAAACCTTGAAATTAGCTGTCAACAGGTATTTGTGAAAAGCTGTGTTTTTGTTGAATCAAAACATAAAGATCACTTGATAATAGTGTAATATATCACCAAGTTACAGTCAAAAATGTAAAGATATGCCCAGCCAGCCACTTTTAGGCTTAGGCTCTAAAGGGTTAAATTACATTGTTACTTACCTAACACAGTTGAGTTTGATTTGCATTCTGTACCGACAAGTTTGAGTCTGCACTTCTGACTACCTTCCGTTTGACTGTGTCAAACAATGACAAAAATGGCAAAAATGTGAAGGGGGATATTTTTCTCTGCAAAATAAGAGCAATACAGAGCAATAGGTTTGCATTTAATTCAAACTGTAAATAAATATGACCTCAAGGGGTATTCACAATTACATTAGTACATGTAGCACTAACATATAGTTCACGTATAGTACTTTGACAGTGAAAATTATTTTTTTTATTTGATGATGTCCAAATACGGTCTCAGTTGATGGTTTAGAAGCAGATACAACCTTACAAGAAACTTCAAATTTGACACTTCAACTACCTCTACTTGTTTTAATGAGCTACGAGAAGCTGAGAAATGTTTAGTATCTAATTACATCATGCTTTTTTATTGCTAGCCATAACAGAGACTTTTAAGGGTTAATGTCCTGCATCTAACATCAGGACTATTCCTGGCTTCTGTGTGTTAGCTTTAATCAGTGATTGATTTTTATTCCGTGCTGACAGACTCAAACAGATTGCAAAGATTTTATATCACTTTAAAAGCACATGGTGAAGCAGAAGGACAGAGGAAGAGCATTCATCACTCAAATCTTTGCTTGCATCATCATTGCATGAGATAAACGTAGGCCGATTGTCTGGCTTTTTCCCAAATGATTCTCAGGGTTTTCGGTATGGTTTGTGTTTAGAAGTGAACTAGCTGAGGTTCACTGTCAGCAACTGAAATGCTTTGAGATGGTGTTTTTTTTTAAGCTCTGTATAGATTTTGACATGAGTTCCTCGAACAAAAGAGCACTGCTTGTTTTTTTTTCTTTTTTTTCTTTCAAAATGTACACTAAACCAGCCCCCCTTGCCTGTAGGCCATTTGCTTTTGTTTTGTTCCATGTTTCTGACCTTCTGTCACTCATATTCAAGGTGCTTTTGTGGTGTTCCCCTTTTTAATTGTGTCCAGAGGGTAAAACAGTGCTGGCCTGTTGAGATTTTTAATAGTGTGACCCTATTACACAACTACTGGTGTGGTATTTGTAATTGGGACCTGCAGCATTGTTTCGTTCCCGGTTTGTGTGCCGTAGATTCTATGCTTTTCAAGGTAACCGCCTGCCATGGTCTGTGTTTTTGTCCACATCTTAGTTTCTGAGCTTGCTGTGCGAAGCATCTCAACTTTGCTTGGTTGCCAGTGAATCAATCATAATCCATACTAATAAAATGCATGGGTTGAGCTTTGTGAACACTGAGCTTAACCTACTGTAAAAACCTCCCCTGCAGAGGAAATTCTGAGCCGCTCCTTCGTCCGTGCACCGCATGGCTTTTCTGTCCTCTCAAGCGTCAAAGCCTCAGGAGACTTTTCCCAGTGGTTTCTCTCTAATCAGTGCCGACTGCCCATTTCCCTTATTAATTGCGGTTCTGGACCTTCGATTACCTCAGCAACACACACCATCATGGCAGGCAGGTTGCTGGAAATAATGACGAGTCGGCTGCAGGGGAAGGCAATTACCCGGCCTAGATGAACTTGTGAGTGGTATTTCTTCCTGCCTCATAGGAAGCCCTGTGCATCTCTACAGCGCCGACTCTCAGCCTGTCAGTCAGTGTTACTGCTCAGACTACTGAGACTCTATCTCTAATGAATAGAGGTGCTTTGAGCTTGTGCAGGTGAACTTCTTTCTTGGATCTAATCTGGAATGGCCAAACACTTGAAGGTATCTTTTATGTGTAATGTTTGATATTCATATTTCTGTACATGACTAATTAAAAATTTGAGGACACCTAGCTTGTCAAAGGCCTTGAAAACATTTCTGCATTTTAATCTCTTCTCCTTTTATTGTTATTCTATTGTTGGATGTGTTGTATTTATTTTTATACGTAAGAAATATGACCATAACAAAACTAGTAATTCATAGATTTTAATTTGTCACAAAATACTATTAAAAACCAAGTTTACCAAGTAAACATTTTGGCAAAGTCACATTTTATTCTTAAGACTAAACAAAAATGTTGAAAAATGCATTGAAAAAAAAAAAAATGTTCTGTGACTCATAGAGGTAACCAAATGTACCAACCATATAAACGTTGCCATGGTGACAGCATTACAGGCAAAAGTGGTTGATTAATAGAGGGAAGCATTAGCAGTGGGACTGTTTATTAAATGTGCAAAAAGGCAGGAGGCTGCTCTGTATTTTTAATTGTAAAATACTGAGTGCACCTGGCCTTCAATAGTGAGCTGTTTGCTCCCCAAAAAATGAACATCTGGTTCATTCCTCTGCAGAGATTGACAGCAAATGTTGGAAAAATTAACTCCTGAAGGAATGACCACTGCAGTACGCTCCAGTGTTCCACTGAAAACAATGGAATATCCAGTTTGCTGTCAACTGTCTACCACTCTAATGTAAATGCAGCATTACACACCAAACACAACGCAAATAAACAACACAAAAACACAAACTGCACACAAGAGACATGACACTTTTTTGGAATTTTTCCTTGTTTACACCTTGACAAAAGCAACAAACAGGCAGAATGTCTTCAAGTGCAAAAAGACATTCTTTGCTACTTGCATAATTTTGCACTTGGTCTGTAAAGTCTTTTAATCTGATGAAACAAATCAATACTAAGCATTTCTATTACAACGTGAAATGCATTCTGAACATCTGAATACACTCACTCAGAAACCATTGCAGTGCATCAACAATAAAGGGAGCATAGAACTTCTTTTATACAGTCATAGGAAACAAGGTAGCACACAGAAAGCTCCAATTCCACATGCTGATCTATTGTACTATGACCAATGTGGACGTACATGCAACACAACTACTCAGGGGGCATATATTAATGAGTTAAAGGAGACAAAGCCTAAGTCTCTGAATGTATATCTGGCAATGAGTAAAAGGGTTAAGTAAATTAGCATGTTTTATTTGAACTTAGATCTGCCCTTTTTTCTTTGCTAAATCTGCAAAACTGGAGAAACAACTGACAAAAGTTCTATCTATGATTTGAGGGGCATTGCTGTGACACTAATGCTATCTGAGGATGTGTTTTGCCCTGGCTGCACACAAGATGGTGGGCTGTGTTGAGGAGGTGGGGGGGTGTTAGTCCTTAATGGCTACCGCAATTTGTGTGATTGATCTGAGGTAGGAGTGATTCCTGCTATAACTCATTAGCAATGACAGCCAGCCATGACTGCCACTAACAGCAGGCCCAGGATCAGCCTCTCCGCTTCATTACTACGATTAATTCCCATTCTGGAAAACGAAGCTGACCTCAGCTCACTGCCGGTAGTGTCTATGACCAGCAGAGGTGACATCAGCGGGTGATGTAAGGGACAGGGTAATGAGCAATGAGTGAAGTGATGCTTGTTAGAAGGATGCTTGTTAGAGGGGATCAAGACATTGAAATGCGTTGGATCAGTAATAAAGTGGCATAGTGACTGTGGAATGCTAGTTACACTGGCATAGATCAGTGGTCAGCATATTTTGGTTTGGCTGTGTATACTGTGTATATGTAATCTGTACTGCTTGACCGTTTTCCACTGCACATTCAAACACAACTGATTCAAACAGGAACCAGCAGACCTACAGTTCTAGTTCACTGCCCACCTAATTGAGAGACATTTAGAACACATATAATAACCGCAATTATGGATTTAATTGTCTTTTTTGTCATTTTAGGCCACTCTACAGCATTTAATTTGGCTAATTAGCCATCTTGCTAGATATTTAGCTTAACTTATTGGCTGGAATGACACAACTGCCCTGTTCTGCCCTCAAAAACTTACACAGATATCTACAATTACACGAGTTTACATGTAGAATCAAGCAAAGCTTATATTTTTCCCTGATGAGTCTGGAAAAAGAGCAAAAACACTTCTGGGGAAGCAAGTATGACATGTCTTTCGGTAACACTTTACTGTATGGTACTGTTCATGAGGCTACATATCAGCTACATAAGCTTGTCATAACAACTGACATAACTCTACATAAATGTTCATAAATGGTCATTCCAGTAGGTGTCATGTGATAT